TTAGGTTAGGACATCCTAGCTAAGATAATCCTAAGATAGCTTCGAAGTGCATGCTGAGACATCTCTTAAGACGGGCCTAACTTTATCCTAAAATCTGTCCTAAGAAATTCTTAGGAAATTTTCGATAAACAGGTCCTTGGTCTTTAATCATATTTTAACGTAATTATAAGCGCGCCGATGATTAATTTTGATAACTAATTACCATCCGATAGTAAGAAAATTAGCATGATATCCTGACCGAATATAATACTTCGTCTACTGGCGAACCGTTTACTGTCGAGCAGTGAGCCAGGATCCCAAGCTATTAGAAATAAAATGAACTGTCAGACGCTACTTTTTACATTCATGAGATATAATTGTCGATATTTAATGTTTCCGTTTCAATTAATTTTATTTACAGCACAAAACTTAAATCTTTTATATTTTTTTAAATATTTAAAGTAAAGTAAATAATTTAAACTGTAAAGACAATATATAGGTGTACGCTTATTGACCTTTTACTCTCTACGCTCGGACTATGTATATGCGATGTGTGTATTATTCTCTGACAATACTCGTGGAAGGCTTGTAACAAGGTATAAGGTAATTAACAGATCGGAAATTAGACGGGCCTCTAGGCCACACGTGTCAGGTGTGACTGTCAGTTCGAATGGACCATAAGATAGAAGGTCGAGTTTAATAGACAAAGTTAAAATACATATTAAAGGAGGTGGCAACTACAAATAGATCGCCGTGGAATATTAAATTATATTTAGGGTTAGGTCCGTTGTTTACCAAATAATGATTTTGAACATGTATTTCATATACATGTAGGATGGATAAATCCGATGTTATAAGAATGATAAATAATGTTTAAATTTATAAATCTAAAGAAGAAGTTATTAAAAGCAAAATGATTTTTCTATTTAATTAGTTTAAAAACGAAGAAATAATCTTGGGTACACCAATAATCAAGTGTTATAATAAGAGTTTGGCTGTTTACAGGAGAGAAAAATAACTTGAATAAAAAAAGAAGTGTTGAGCACCATTATTAACGTGAACCTTTATACGTAAGACCTCATGGGGCGGCATTTTATCATCTATAGGTAACATGCATATAGCTCTGTAACAACCGGAAATGTCAAGGTAAATCACTACCTATGCAGAATGTACCATGTCAAAGAAACTCTCTCGATTTGAAAGCATGACCATTTATGATTTAAGAGGGGTTTTAGGTGAGGGGAATTCTGACTAGTTTTTTTTCGCAACTTATATTACTTAACTGAAAAAAACCCCAATTTATTACATCCATGAAATTCATAGAATACTCCCTAATATCGGCTACAGTTCTTAGTGGACAAGCCGTATTGAATTTTCTAAATTTCAATGATTTAATACCAGAGACATATATACGTCTCTGTTTAATACGTAGTAAAAAAAACACCGAAAATTCAAATCAATTTGATAGTCAATATGTTTCCTTCAACAATAACATATCCTCATTGACATTCGGTCTGATTCTTAAATGTGAATTTGGAATACAGAACACGAAGAATGCTGAATGTTATACAACCTTATTATCATGAATAGATACTGAACACAAATATAAATATAAACCAGTATATACGTGAGACTTCATTGGAGAGTACCTTACCATATACAGGTCATATACAGGTAATATACATGTAACTCCGCTGTAATACCCGAAAATGTCAAAGTAAATCACTTCCTATACAGAATGTACCATGTCTCAGAAATTATCACGTTTGTAAAGCATCACCAGTCATTTTTTTATTTTTCTATTCATTAACTTTCTATCTGTATAAACCAATGATCGACAAGTAAATACATTTTTTTGTGTAATTATCAGCAATATAATTTAAAAAATAAAGAAAAGATTTTAGTCACGAATAATATTCTAGTCTAACGTGTTGGTGTATCCGTTGTCGAAGATGCACATAGACCTAGGTGAACAACACACTCTCTTTAGAACATCTAGTTTTTAGTTTCACAAAATTTGGGTTATCAAATTCTGTTGAAGAATTTATTGTTGTTAGTTAATGTAAATGTTCAGTTGCAAGTACTACATGTATATTGAGGACAAAATCGAAGAAATATAGTAACTGGCAAAACTATTCAGGCATCTCCACCTAAAATAAATCTTCATGGAATGCTACCTATTCATAATAAAAAAAACCCACTTATATACGATTTTCAAAGTCTTTGCTTATGTAATAGTAGAATGAGCCTGTTTTGCACATGTTTTACAGTACTACTTTTTAACCAATTATACATGTACATTAAATTTGAAAAATGCTAAAATACTATTGCACATTGTATTCATAAGAAATTTTGTTAAAAACATATTGAGATCATCATTACATGATTATAGAAACGACAAAGTCTGTCTGTCTGTCAGTCAATGAACTCCTATTTGGATAGATCTGTTGGACGCATATATCCGACTTGCCCTTACTTTCAATAAAGAGCTGGCGATATTTTTAGCCTTAACACCATGTGTTGTTTGAATTTGCTTCTGATTTTTTTCACAGATTAAGTTTTGGTTTAGATGGTCATGTCACAGTCTTGTCTCAGTATAACAACAGGGTTGAGTAAGGTGCCCTGATGGGTTCAAAATGGGTCCTCTACGCAGAGAGAAAGTCCCTCACATGGAGGTGGGCCTCTATTGGTCACTTAACAATAATGTATACTAGTTCAACAAAATGGTTGCTACACTAAACACCAAAAACATGCTTTTGAACTTAAATTAAAAAAGCAAAAGCACACGAGATTAACAAAGGATAAAGGTTTCTGCTTTGCCTTTGGGACAGGCGACAAAATGTTATTTATGACTTTTGCTATCTCAACCTGCCCCCTATACCTGTAGAAAATGAGGAATTAACAACCACACTGCATAAAACAGGGTAAAACTCAATTTAAAAGAAGTCGTAGTCCGATTTTAGAATAGGTAAGAGAAGAAACTATACAAATGGCAATAATAAACATAAAATAACAAAGGACCAGTAGCAGTAACTGACATGCAAGATCCAGGCTTGTACCTCTGGGGTTAGGTTTCTTAATAAAGAATCTAATCGGGAATTTGTGTCATTGGTAGTAAAATTTACATTTCTTGAACAATGAAATCTGGGATATTTGGTCAAATACAATAATACCTTTACTTAGTAGCAGAACATATAAAAATTATTCTCTTTTCTTTGGTTTTGTTCCCAAATAGATTTTTCTCCCATAGGATATTTATTTCTCCCGTAGGATATTTATTTCTCCCATAGGATATTTATTTCTCCCACAGGAGATTTCTTTTTCCCATAGGATCTTTTTCTCTCTTATGATTTGCTTCAATCTCCCATAGGATTTTTATTCTCCCTAAGGATTTATTTTTAACCCTTAGGATTTTTTTTTATCCCACAGGATATTTTTTCTGTAATGAAATCCCTTAGGATTTTTATTAATCCTATCGGATATTTTTTATCCCACAGGATTATTTTAGTAGACAAATATCCTATAGGATGAAAAATATCCTGTAGGAAATGCTTTTATTTCTCCTAAGGGATTTTTTTAGTCCTAAGGGAGAAAATATATCCTGTAGGGTATTTTTATTTTCCTAAGGGATTATAAATCCCATAGGATTTAAATATCCTTTAGGATATTAAAAATATCCTATAGGATTATGACTTTATCCTATAGGATTTCTCAAAATCCTGTAGGATTTTAAAAAATCCTATGGGAGAAAAAAATATCCTACAGGATTTTGTCACTGTTTTCACTCCAGTCGCCGAACCAGGCGAGCCACACCAAATTTTTTTTTGCATTGTGTTACCTAACCCCAGAGGTACATTATTGCCAAATTTGAAGATTCTATCGTTAAAAAAAGTGTGGTTCCAATTTGCACTCATGAGAAGTGCAAATTAATCCAAGAACATGTTTTTTGAATATTATCTTATGATCATAAACAAGCTTCTGTCCAAGTTTGGTAGAAATCCAGGATAGTTTAAGAAAGTTATTAAAATTTCAAAAACTTTAACCACAGAGTGAATGTAATGTTTCTTGGCAGAAAAGCTAAGTCCATTTATAAGTAAAATACAGAAAAAATGGAATTTTTTTTATACAAAATTTACTTTTGAATATTATCTTATGATCATAAACAAGCTTCTGTCCAAGTTTGGTAGAAATCCAGGATAGTTTAAGAAAGTTATTAAAATTTCAAAAACTTTAACCACAGAGTGAATATTTGTGGACGCCGCCGACGACAACGACGATGACGACACCGACGGAATGTAGGATCGCTATGTCTCGCTTTTTCGACAAAAGTCGAAGGCTCGACAATAAAACCATCAGCAAATATTCAAATACAACACAGTTATTGTTATGCACAAGTCTTATTTTCTCAATAAATTTTTATGCCCCATTTATGGGCATTATGTTTTCTGGTCTGTCTGTGCGTCCGTTCGTCCATATGTCGGTTCGTTCATCAGTCCGTTCGTCTGTCCCGCTTCAGGTTAAAGTTTTTGGTTGAGGTAGTTTTTGATGAAGTTGAAGTCCAATCAACTTGAAACTTAGTACACATGTTCCCTATGATATGATCCTTCTAATTTTAATGCCAAATTAGAGATTTTGTCCCATTTTCACGGTCCACTGAACATAGAAAATGATAGTGCGGATGGGGCATCCATGTACTTGGGACACATTCTTGTTGTTTTTATATTTTGGAAATGTCATCTGTGGCACAGCGCAAAAAACTTCATCCAACAGGTACATCATCAGTTTTACCCCCTGAAGATATGTGTGATGTTGTCCAATCAAAATCCTTGTTATAAAAAAAAATGCATTCCAATACATAATGAATAACACAGTTAAGCCTCTTTAGGAATATTCAAGCAAGCTATTTAACTAAATGGACAGGTAAATAAAATTGTACAGTATAGATCAATTTGAAACATTGCCATAAATCAACATTCATATAATGTATGACATTTCAACTATTTTCTTTGATATCATTTCAGATATAAACATCTCCCAAAAGGTGAACCATTGACAAATGAGAACCTGCGTAAGCAGTTAGAGACAGTGACAGAAAATCAAAAGAAAAGATCAAGCCAACTTGTAGATTTAGGCTCAACACAGAACAATGAAAACTTCAACAATATAGTTACAAGCAAGGCTCCAAAAAATAGGTCAGTAACTAAAAACATTGATTATAACCTTTCAGTAACATCCCAAAATGATTCCAACATCAAACACAAAGAAAATGAATATAAACATAGCAATACAAAATAGAATTCTTTCAATTTCAAAGGGAGATGATTGCTGTTTATCTGTCATTAGAAAATTGACTATTTCAGAATTTTTTTCTCTGAAAACTGACTTAGCAGAATTCTTTTTTTAAACTATGATCATTAGCATATTCTAAAAAAACAATCCTTCATTTTGATATCACTGTATAAACAAAAAATAACCAACAGTGCAAACGGTTTAACATGAATTTAAGGTAGATTCATGGTATACCGCCATCTTGGATTGTACAATCGCAGTACACAATCGGTCTAGATCTTTGCCTAAATCTACAAATTTGGAGACAAATAGGCAATTTATAGGTTAGACTGTTTATTTGATGAAAGAAAACTTGGTGATTTATTGCATTATCCAAAATGTTTAAATAAATACCAAATAAATGTGTTTTTAGAATCATTTTTTCAACTTGGCCATTTAAGGGGAGATAACTCTTTTAGTAAAAAATTTATACTGGACTGATAGGGAAATTTTAATTTTTTACTTGTAGCAAGAAAACAAGTTCGGTGACACCATTTTTTCTTTTTATTTTCTTAAAGCATATAATAAAACCTATCTTTTCATATTTTATTTCAAAATTCTATCTCATAGATTTCTTTTTATGCACAAAAATGTGTTTTTTCATGAACAATCTAAGCAAATTTGTGCAATTTCGTACGACCCGTAGCTTGAAAAATAGCACGGTGACCCATACTTTTTATTATATTTTTGGAAAAGGCATAGAAAAATCTTTATTTTGGCAAAGTATAAAAAAATTCTATCTGAGGAAATATATACCTATGATCTACCTTAAGTTTCACTTTATAAAATTAAATGTTTGATATGAGGGGGGCAGGCCTAGGAGACGACAGGTGGCAAAGGTTTTGTGATTCAACTCCAAAACTTTTAAAGATATAATTTCAAAATTTTAAAAACTAATATGAGATCTTATGAAACAAAAGTGAACAATTCAAAAATGTTTGAATAGTTATTCCCCCTGAAACAGTTTTATAATAATTTTAGCTAGTTTAATCTTCTGACAGCTGCTTTACAATATTAACTGTGAAATTTCTTTTTGTAGATCATATGGTGGAACCAGCTCATTAAAAGCAAGAGTTTCAGCTGCAGTTCTTCAGAAGAATGAAGGTTATACCTGGGTTAACAAGGTATTGTGTTACAGCTTATATATTATAAATACTGTGTATTTCCTGTTTTATTTTACCCCATGTAACATAAACATAGTATAATGTTTGTGACCTGTCATTTTAGGTTTCTAAACAATAATTTGAAAACTGATACAGTGATTTTTAACCTGATTTTGGAAGGAAATATTGGTTATTAAAATGGTGATGTACAGCGGACGGCTGGGCGGGCCTACGGGCGGCTGCCAAACAGTGTCAGCACAATAACATGAAAACGCTTTAACAAATTTTTTTCAAATTTAAATATGTTGTTTCCTGGGACTTAATGAAGGTCTAGTTCAATTTTCAAGATATAAGTATATCTCCTTTGTGAGTTATTGCCATTTTTAATATCCAAAAGTGGAATTTTTAAATATTTTACTCTTGTTATCTTTTTTATGACTAAGCATAATGTCTTATCTCACAATAAAAATTGGAGTGACAGATTTATTTGAAAATTATCTATTTCCTAAGTGGTAATGATGATAAGCTATATTATTAGACATTTTGAAGTTAATTACATTATTAATTATTAATTAGATCTGGGTTATATCTTAACATATAATATCATTGGAGTGACAGATTTATTTGAAAATTTTCTGTTTCCTGATAAGATATGTAGGACTGTATATAAAAAGTTTGAAATTTACTAGTAGGACTGTATAAATGAAATTTTAAATTTACTGTTCATTATTAGACATTTTGTAGATAATTAAGTATCCCTGAACCATATATATTCTTACCCCCACCCCCTTTCAATTTGAGAATGTGCTTTTATCCTGTAAACGGTTGATATCGCCACCCCTAAACCATATATATTCTTGTATGGGACAATAAAACAAATCAAATGAAATAAAAGGCGAGTCCCCTGGGGTCACCCCACCCCATCCTGTTTAAGAATTTGTAAACTGTCGAGATCCCCACCCCTAAACCATATATATTCTTGAATGGGACAATAAAACAAATCAAATGATATATAGGGGAAGTCCATGGGGGTCACCCCCACCCCCCTTCTTTTTGATAACTTGTAAATAGTCGAGATCCCCACCCCTAAACCATATATATTCTTGAATGGGACAATAAAACAAATCAAATGAAATTGAGATGAAATCCCCTGGGGTAACCCTCACCCCCTTTCTTTTTGAAAACTTGTAAACGGTCAAGATCCCCATGCGGAAACCCCCACCCCCTTCTTTTTGAAAACTTGTAAACGGTCAAGATCCCCACCCCGAAACCATATATCTTCTTGAATGGGACAATAAAACAAATCAAATGAAATATAAGCCGAGTCCCCTGGGGTCACCCCCACCCCCTCCTGTTTAAGAACTTGTAAATGGTCAAGATCCCTACCCCTAAACCATATATATTCTAGAATTGGACAATAAAACAAATCAAATGATATATAGGGGAAGTCCATAGGGGTCACCCCCACCCCCCTTCTTTTTGATAACTTGTAAACAGTCGAGATCCCCTCCCCTAAACCATATATATTCTTGAATGGGACAATAAAACAAATCTAATGAAATAAAAGGCGAGTCCCCTGGGGTCACCCGACCCCATCCTGTTTAAGAACTTGTAAACCATCGAGATCCCCACCCCTAAACCATATATATTCTTGAATGGGACAATAAAACAAATCAAATGAAATATAAGGCGAGTCCCCTGGGGTCACCCCCACCCCCTCCTGTTTAAGATCTCCACCCCTAAACCATAAAAAATAAATTCCTGTTCTTAATTTCAAGAAGATTTGAATGACATACAGGGTCAATCCATAGGCGTCACTAATGCATATCATAAACCAATTTGTACTGGACATTGCCCAATGTCAAGGGACAATGGGAATGACGAATTATTGGAGCTTTGTTTGGGAGACTTCGTAACAGCATTCTGTTACAATTATTTCTTGTTACTGATAAGTTTTATAGATTTTGAAATGAAATTGTATTAATGATAAATAAAATTTTGGATTTTTTTCTTCTTTTCTTTGGTAAATTGTTTGTAAAATTTTGTGGCAAGTTTGTTTGTTATTCTGTAAAAACTAATTTTCTGAATGCTATATATATTATTTTTTTTGATGGAGTAAACTCCTTTAAAAACTTAGCTTATATTGTCTATTAATAAACATATATTTAGATTTCTGATTTTGGGCCCAGTTTTCAAGCTGGTCCAAATTGGGGTCCAAAATTAAACTGTGTTTGATTTCAACATAAATTGAATATGTATAGGGTTCTTTGAAATGCTTAATCTAAACCTGTATTTCTTTTCATTATTAATAAGATAATACCACATTGAGGTCCAAAGGGTCCTAATTATAAATAACACTTTTGGTTAATTTCATCAAAAATTGAATTCTTTGGTTCTTTGATATGCTGATTCTAGCAATGTTTGAGTGATAAATGATATCTAATTTTAGAGAACTTAGTCATCACTGGTTGTTGTTATTATATTATTGATTATAATTTGAAAAATTGCATCATATCTTATTTTAGAGAACTATTTATCCAGTTTGAGTTATTTCCCTTTGCACAGAAAACATTATGGATAAAATTAACCTGTGTTTCATTTCAACATAAATTAAATATATATAGGGTTCTTTCAAATGCTGAATCTAAACCTGTATTTAAATATTAGATTTTTGGGCCCAGTTTTCAAGTTGGTCCAAATCAGGGCCCAAAATTAAACTTTGTTTGATTCAACAAAAAAATTATTTATGGGGTTCTTTGAAATGCTGAATCTAGCATGTATTGAGAGATTTTGGATTGTGGACTCCTTTATCAAGTTGGTCCACATTGAGGTCCAAAGGGTCTTAAATTAAGCTTTTGTCTGATTTCATCAAAAATTGAATTCTTGGGGTTCTTTGATATGCTGATTCTAAAATGTACTTAGATTTTTGCTATTGGACCATAATAGGTATTTAAATGTCCAATTTCAAGTATTTCAGTTCTTAAACCACATTCTTTTTGTGTCACAAACCTATGCTGTGTCAAATATTCAATCACAATCCAAATTCAGAGCTGTTTTAAGCTTAAATGTGGTGTCCATACTTGCTCAACTGTTCAGGGTTCGACCTCTGCAGGAAAATCCGGTTTGCTGTCACTCTGACAGCCTCTTGTTGTCAAATTATATACAAAGGTGAATGACCTTACAAAGGTGATCAAGTTCAAATTGGACTTAATTGTATTTTTTTAATCAACTTTTTCTCAGCAATACTTGTCCACACCATAAATGATGTTAATTTGGTTTTTAATTGTTTGAATATAAAGCAGTGTGTGGTTGACCTTCATGTGACCTTATCCAAAGGTCGAATATAGAATTTTAAAGGGAAGGGTTATGTTTTTTGTCATCTAAAACATTTCTCACTAGTTTACCTTGTTTTAGGTTAACAAGAAAGCATTGCTGTCACCAGGCACAATTTCTGTTAGAGTTGGACAGAGGATTGACAGAAAGAGACTCTGGCAAAAGAAGAATAGCTCCTCAGTTCATTTCAAACGTGACAGATTTAAAAGAAAGGTAAAACTTCATGGCATATAATTAGTCAATTTAGTGACAGCCATATAATAGAAAAAACAAAGGATATGGGGTATCCAGTACATGTACAACAACAATGAACAAAAAACACACAAAAAGAAAAGGAACAGCTCTTTTATTGAGGTTCTTCATCTCAAAGTCACATTAAAGCCTCAACAGGAAGAAATATATAAGTCTCACCTCACTGCAATTTAGTGATAATTTTTAATAATACAGAAATATATGATTGAATTCTAAAATTGGAGGCATATTTAGCCTGTTTCTCAGATATGAAGTGCCTTGTTAGGTGTATCCAAAATTCTATTAACCAGTGCAGTACCCTCTGCTGTATAAATACAGGTCTATTGATCTCGCTTCCATGAAATGTTTTGAAGTGAAAATTTCAATGAGGATAGGAACGAGGGCCAAGAATAGGTGGTGTGTGTCTTATTTAGATTTTAGTATATCAACTGTCTTACAATTGAAAGCATGATGTGGCATATATAAGAGAAGTTATCTCAAGAATAATTACACCACAACTTTAAAAATACAGAATAGTCCAGTCAATCTAGCATAAATTTGACCCTAACCTTAAAGTAATTGCAACTGAAGATTTTTAAGTTTTAATCTTCAGCATTATACCCAAAATATACACAGGAAACAGTCTCATAAAATCTTACTAAAGGAAGACTAAAAAAATCACGATTTAAAATTCCTATGGAGATTTGCATTGAAAAGGGAGATAACTCTGCAAAAAAGGCAGAAATATCAATGAAAATTGATACAAAATTATAACTTTACCGCTTCTATTCAACAAAATGTATTGATTCTTGATATTTTAGCCGTCTTTAGAGTATACATAACAAACAACTCTAAAGGTGTTTTCATATCTTTTATCAAGCTACAATCTAGATTTCATAATTCATTAGTTGACCATTTATTGAATTTTTCAACATGTCAAGGTAAAGAATATCAAATTTGATAAAAATAATTAAGCATACATTCTTCTTTTTGTTGATTAAATTTTCTTTAAACAAGGTAGATGCTGAACAAATATAATATACAGATATAAACAATACCAAATTTTCACATTTTTTTTTCAAAATGGTCACAAAGCAACAAATTTGCGATTTCTTTAATGAAAAATGCACCAAAAAAAATAAAAATACCCATAACACTTCGGTTTTGTACATTTCATGAGCAGAAGATTATATAATATAGTCAAATATAAACTTATAACCCCATCTAAGTATCATCCTTTACATAGATTTTAATAAAAATCAACCAAAAACTGACAAAAGAAGACTCATTTTTGCGGAGTTATCTCCCCTTCCAATGCTAATTTCCATAGGAAATTTAAAAAAATGCTGATTTTGAGTTTTCCTCAAGTTAGATTTTATGGGACTTTTTTCTGTGTATATTTAGGGCTTAATGCTATAGATTAGAACTTAAACATTTTCTGTTGCAATTAGTTTGACTGGACTAGAAGACCAACATATTGATAAGCACAGGGACATGGTGAAACTTACATGAATTATGTTAAATTGTTAAATCGGTAAACTATAATATAAATTGCCAAAGACAATATGAATTGCAATTCGGCCAAAAATAGAGAGAAAACAAGAAAGAAATATATGGTTATAAAGAGTTATATTCCCTTTATTTTACAATATACATGTAACAACACAATAAGGTATAAACAAAAGATTTTTCTGAATATTTTCTTTTTGTCTTTTTGTAGCATAAGAAAACTTTTCAACAAATTAAAGCAGCAGTTATAGAAGGAGAAACATAACAACCACAAATTGAAGAAAATGTGTCGGTAAGAGACATTGAAAAGATTCCAACTAAATATTCTTTGGAAGGCATAGACGAATATGTCGTGTTTGATTTAGAAACAACTGGGTTATCAAGAACCTCTGATATAACACAAATATCAGCATATGATGGGACCAACATGCTAAATCTTTATGTGTCTCCACGACAACCTATTTCATCAAAGGCCAGTGATGTTACCGGCATTACTTTCTCTTTTGAGAGAAACCAAATGTATTGCCATGGTGTTCCAGTTGAAAGCGTATGTATAAGAAAAGCCTTACTTCAACTAATTGAAATGATACAGAAAAAATCTCGTCCTGTGCTTGTTGGTCATAACATCCATTCATATGTGCCTGTACTAAGAAATTTGTTGCAAGAGTTTAATCTGCTGAGTTCTTTTGATAACCTTATTTATGGATGCATTGACACTTTGAAAATTGCAAAGCGTGAAATACCAAAAGCTGATGTTCAAAATTATAAGCAACAAACATTAGTTCAAAAGTTTCTGGAGATTGTTTATGATGCTCATAATTCTGAGGAGGATGTAAGAAGTTTATACAAACTGTTCCATCTTAAACTGAAACAGACATGTTCTGCAAAGGATTTATTTCCGTTTAATTATTTGTCAATTGTAGAGGGTTTTTCTAGTGTCATTGTTAAAAAAGTTATTTCAAAAGACACTGCAAGGAAACTTTCCTGCACAGGTCTCAGCCTTCATCACTTGGAGCTTGCTTACAAAAGAAACAATGAAGATGGTGTAAAATCCATCATGCAGGAACATGGTTTGAAAGGGAAAACGGCAAATGTGTTCAAGAAGTTTTTTTCTGAAAAAGAGGAATAGACTGTATATCTGGTTAAAGACTGAAAATTTGATATTTATATGCTATAATTCTGTAGAAAAATTGGTTCTGCCTATCTAAAAATCTAACCCTTTGAAACAACCCTTGATAAAAGTTGATTATGAATAAATAGAAGTTTTTACTAAAATTTGAGTAACCAAAGAGTACTTACACTTCAAATATATAAGAATTAGGGATCTGTTATAAAATTGCAGCATCCTTTAGTAATTACTCTGTCTGTACATCTGTCACAGTTTCCTATTTTGTACAATAACCCAAGTTTTCCTCGACAGATATGCAACAATAAGTATCACATGACATATAAATATTTTCCATTTAGTCAATATTGGTGGATAACTTTCTGAAGCCTGAAGGATTATATCTCTTACAGATTTTTATTTTGATTGACAAATTTTTCAACAGATTTTTATGAACTTTTATACAAAAGTAGGTGCTTATGTAACAATACAAGTCAACTGAATATTAATAGGGAGATAACTTTACTTCATCTACATGAACCAACATAATAAGCATTAGGCTAGGCCATAAATCAGAAATGAGGGGACTCATAAGGTTGAATAAAAGTAACAATATTGTAATGTATCAGTTCCAAAGTTTTACCATCTTGCCCATCCCTACCCCACCCCTTTTTCCACATTTTTCTAAGATTTGTTGTAGCAATCTGATCTAAGGGCAAGACTATTGTTTTATATAAAGTTTTAATGGAATATTTTTCAGAGATTGCAGTTTTCATGAAATTGGACAAACGTTTCAGTGAGTCCCTTGGAAACTGAATCTGCCCCATATTTATTTTTTATTTTTGAGAATATACACTTTTGCAAGTTTGATCCACATTCTCATCCTGGATATGTATTGTAAATTGATGTTATATTATCATACTTCTTATATGGTTTGCCTATTAGGGAATACTTTGATATAATTGGTCGAGAGGACCTCGGGTAGTTGTTCTTGAAATTGTTTATTTTTTCGATAGACAATGTTGACCGAACTTCTTTTTGTAATCAATGAGGCGATAGTAACACAATCCGACTCAATGTTAAAACTATCTATTTTCACTTTGCATTAATCTTTAAATTGAATACAAACACAAATAAACAGCTGTGCCATGAGCGCATGATACGCCCGTCGTCTTGTGTGTGAATTTTTATGCAATAAGCATAAATAGTTTCTGACATACGGCGTGACATGCGAAAACCCCCTTTTTTTTTTACAAAAAACTCAATATCTCTAAAATAAAATTTTGAATCAAAACCAAAAAGTATACAGAGCTTTAGATTAATATAACTAAGAAGTGTGTAAAATTTTAAGCAATAATCATAAATCGTTTTTGAGATACGGCGTGACATGTGAAAAACCCCTCCCCCTTTTTTTACAAAATACTCAATAACTCAAAAATAAAATTTTGAATCATCACCAAAAAGTATACAAATCTTAAGGTTAATATAACTAAGAAGTGTGTAAAGTTTTAAGCAATAATCATAAACTGTTTTTGAGATACGGCGCGACATGTGAAAAACCCCTCCCCCATTTTTAACAAAATACTCAATATCTCTAAAATAAAATTTTGAATCATCACCAAAAAGTATACAGATCTTAAGATTAATAAAACTAAGAAGTGTGTAAAGTTTAAAGCAATAATCATAAATTGTTTTTGAGATACGGCGCGACATGTGAAAAAAAACACACACCTGTTTTTGTTACTAAGTCCCGTAACTCAAAAAGTTTTAATCTTATTTTCACCAAAAAGTATACAGATCGTTTGACCATCAAAAGAAACAACTATGTTAAGTTTCATGAAATTTGGATAAGTCATTCTCAAGTTACGGTGCGACATGTTTACGCCGGACAGACAGACGGACAGACAGACGGACGCCAGACATTTGTATACCATAATACGTCCCGTCAAAAATTTGACGGGCGTATAAAAATTCATTTGAATGAAAATAAGACTTTTTGTAGTTAATTTTTTTATCAGATAACAAATTACACGGAGTACATATTTTTGCGTTAACCAACAAATAAATTCATGCGCCTGGCCAATTCAATGACACACATAAACTACATGTATTGACATTTGATGGTGATTACGAGTGTGCAATTTTCCTGTAAAACATTTGTAAAATTCAAGGTTTCATCTTACAGATAATGTAATAAAATTTTACTGTTCGCGATCAAAATTTCACTGTTTGGGGGTGTTGAAATCAGTGGGGGTAATTAAAATAATAATACTTAAAGAAGTGATTTTCATGTCATTAACCCAGATTCAGTACAAGGTCATCACCTGACATGAGGGGTCACCCTATCAACACAGATGTTGGTTCTGATAATTTTAGCAACATTATTAGTCCCTGGATCATTAGTATTGTATATTTAAAGCTACAATAAATTTAAATCACTTAGTCTAGTGATTTATTTGTACTACTTAAATAGGTGACTATTAAAGAAAGACAACTCTTGCTTCCAACATTTGTGGACACAATGTCAGTCAGGGGTACTACTTGTACAAGTAATTTTTATTTACTTGAAGAAGTAAATATTAATATACTCATATAAGTAAATTTGTTGGATACTTAAACAAGCGTATTTTATTTACTTGTAAAAGGTAAATTATTTTATGGCCTAATTATGTCCCTTAGACATTCAGATTTTTTTACTTATACAAGTAAAAAAGTCATCCCATCTTCTTTTCTTGAATTCTTAGAACTTCTTTGCTCTAACAGAATTTTGAATTGTCTGTCCTTTGCAGATGTCTTTACTAATCATTTAATTGTAATTTCATGGACAATGAAAATATCATTTGACTGTTATCTTCAGAACACTGCTCATTTACAAGCCCCCAAGGAGCAATTTTTGAAGGCCTTGGCAAATACTTAAGATCTTTGCGAAATCAGTTTCTTTGTTGAATTAATGAGATGAAACATTGAACTCTTATAAACAAGAGTGCACACGCTGAAATGCCTCGCCTTCTTTACTAATCATTGATATTATGTTAATAGTCCTAAATATAAAGCTTTATTACAACTGTCACATAAACTTAACATTAAGCAAGTAAACTAAACATTGACCAATGAACCATGAAAATGAGGTCAAGGTCAGATGAACCATGCCAAGCAGGCATTACAGCTAACAATTCTTCCATACAACAAATATAGTTGACCTATTGCTTATAGTTTAAGAAAAACAGACCAAAACACAAAAACTTAACACTGAGCAGGTCAAGGTCAAATAAAACCTGCGTGACTGACATATAGATCATAAAACATTTCCATACACCAAAAATAGTTGAACTATTGCATATAGTATTAGAAAAAAAGACCCAAAACTCAAAAACTTAACTTTGACCACTGAACCATGAAAATGAGGTCAAGGTCAGATGACACCTGCCAGCTAGACATGTACACCTTACAGTCCTTCCATACACCAAATATAGTAGACCTATTGCATACAGTATAAGAAAAACAGACCAAAACACAAAAACTTAACTATAACCACTGAACCATGAAAATGAGGTCAAGGTCAGATGACACCTGCCAGCTAGACATGTACACCTTACAGTCCTTCCATACACCAAATATAGTAGACCTATTGCATACAGTATAAGAAAAACAGACCAAAACACAAAAACTTAACTATAACCACTGAACCATGAAAATGAGGTCAAGGTCAGATGACACCTACCAGTTGGACATGTACACCTTACAGTCCTTCCATACACCAAATATAGTAGACCTATTGCATACAGTATAAGAAAAACAGACCAAAACACAAAAACTTAACTATAACCACTGAACCATGAAAATGAGGTCAAGGTCAGATGACACCTGCCAGTTGGACATGTACACCTTACAGTCCTTCCATAAACCGAATATACTAGACCTATTGCTTATAGTATCTGAGATATGGACTTGACCACCAAAACTTAACCTTGTTCACTGATCCATGAAATGAGGTCGACGTCAAGTGAAAACCGTCTGACGGGCATGAGGACCTTGCAAGGAACGCACATACCAAATATAGTTATCCTATTACTTATAATAAGAGAGAATTTAACATTACAAAAAATCTTAACTTTTTTTTCAAGTAGTCACTGAACCATGAAAATGAGGTCAAGGACATTGGACATGTGATTGACAGAAACTTCGTAACATGAGGCATCCATATACAAAGTATGAAGCATCCAGACCTTCCACCTTCTAAAATATAAAGCTTTTAAGAAGTTAGCTAACGCCACCGCCGCCGCCGCCACCGCCGGATCACTATCCCTATGTCGAGCTTTCTGCGACAAAAGTCGCAGGCTCGACAAAAATTTTGAGCTAACCTGAGAAAAATTGTTAAAGGCATGCATAATTTTACATCTTAAAACTTGAGAATTTTAGTTGGATTGTAAAAAAAAATTACTTATACAAGTAAATTTTTGAGAAAATTAAGGGGAGATTATTCAAACATTATAATTAACTTATATAAGTATATTTTATTTACTTATTCAAATAAATAAAGATTACTTGTACAAGTAGTACCCCTGACTGAATGTTACTTGAATGAGTGATTTAAAAATCACTCATTTAAGTAAGTCCCCTGACTGTTAAATGTTTTTTTTTCATAACTTCCTTTCTAAGATTTTGGACAGGGGTTCACCCAACCCTGGATAACCTGTTGGGTCTGAAAGGTACAAATGTATGCACTCAGTATGGATAAGATTTTTTTTTTTGTAAAGCTGACCAAAACATTAGGTGCATATGTACATGAAACATCTAAGTCAGACATATATATGTGGGAAAAAAACTATGCAGTTACAGATCACACAAAGTGTCAGCTTGACATTTAAGGCAATGTATAATATACAGGTGTGAGAGAAAGGGAGTGAGAACTGGGAGAAAGATGGCTCCCAAACTTGAGAATTAAAGAATTTTTCACACTTTCATCTGTATATTTGTGAATACAATTTATTGAATTATTCAATGACATGAATTATATAAATAATTGATGCACAGTTGTCTCGATCTCAGTGTTTTAAGCACAAACTTACCAATACTGGTATCCCCATAAACAATTCGCTCCGCACACAATTCACATTTAGCATGGCATGATGGGTTAGAATTGTCTACCACATAGGCACCATTAGGAACTAATGGTTTGAAATAGTGGAGGGCCATAATAGTTGTGATTTTCACTTCACTGAGATTACCACTGCTGGACAAGTCTAACAATGACTTTAAGCATGATAAATGATTCCCTGAAAAAAAATCAATGAAACAATGACTACAAAGCAAGGTGTTGAGGGATTAAATTTTTTGCCTTATAAGTTATACTATGCTTTCTTTACCCATTTGATGAAAAAATAACACACTTTCTCCGAATTGTTGCACCACTTATGATAGGAAGGCCCAGAATAATGTCTTATTTTGGTGTTGAATAATTCTGACAAGTTTTGATCAAATACTTCAATAAGGAAAAGCTTTTAGTTGTTTTAAAATTTACAAAATATTGGATGATTTAAAAATCTGTACTTTTTTTAAATATGAATTCAATTTTTTGTTATAAATTTTTGTATGACAAAAAATAAACCACCTCATAATGTGCATTTAACAGTATAATATCTATAAGTTCATATCTATTCACATCATTGACATGCTATTACATCACATACAAGTCAATAAATAAAAAATTATATTGTATATTTAACATGTTTAACAGAAATAAATTTGATTTCTAAATGTATATACATGTATGTAATTAATTCAGTTGAAACTAAAGTGTCAATGTTCCATCAGGGAAAAACTTTACGGTCGCCCATGGCGACCAGAAATTGACCTGGGCGATCTTTTTATTCAATTGTGGTAGTCAGGTGGCGAATTGAAAACAAAGTACTCGACAGACGGAAATCCGCTGTTTACCGTGGCTCCAAGTGCGGGCTACTTCGCTGACAAAAATATAAATTCAAAAAGAAAAAAAAATCTTTTTAAAATGTATACAGGCAAGTGTCGAGAGTCGTATTGTCACAAAGTCACGGTCGCGATAAACAAGGATGTAAGTCAGTGTTTACCTTTGACTAAATATAGTTCACGTTAATTCAGGTCACTGATTGGTCGTCTATTTAAAGTCCGGAAAGTATCTTATCCCCGGCTTAGTATATTTCTAGGAGTTTGATTGGTTAACGCACGTCGTTACAAAACCCATAGCCCCTGGGTGTTGCTAACCCATATCCCCTGGACGTTGCTACCCATTACATCGTGGAATTTCACACGCGTTTTCCTTAGTTCCATGGTTGTTCCTTATGAAATATCGAATTCTGTAGATTTTCCATGATGTCTGTATAATTAAATATTTAATCCACTAACGATTTTGTCTTATTACATCGCCCACGTGGTGTCCAGAGAAATTATGAAGGTCAAAAATGAAAGTAGAATATTGTCGACCAAAAATAAATAACATTAGTTCAAAATGATTTTAGTTTCCTACTTACTGAACAGTTTACAAAAAAGAGAAAATCAGAGGAGATATCAATTTTATGACAATGCTTTTGAAATACGTGTACAAGTCTTTTGAGAAAAAAGGGGGGTCATTTGTTTACAAATGTACGTATAGTTACTCAAAATAAATCGATCAAGATATTTAATAAATGAGATTATTAAAGAAATAAAATTAAATATTTCATAGATCATCTACACATGCTACATGTATGTAAGGACAGAGAATTCTTTAGTTGTCTTAAAAAGATATTTTAAAAAAAACTGGTACACAGGGCATGAAGATTCCCATTTTGTAAATGATTTTTTTTTTATTAAATTTGATTGAAGTCAACAACAAAAATAAGACAAAATTTACATTTTCCCAAGCATCTAAATCATCTCCAGATATGCTCAGAATGCAGGATTTTGAGTCTAAAATTTCAAAATTTTCTTGGGGGGGCATGCCCCCAAACCCCCCTAGCAAGTTCTGCCAGCTTCGCGGGATTCACTGGTGATACTCATAGTGAAATAAGGTGGGCTACTAACTTTTTGTCTGGGCTAACTGATTTTCAAGTCTAGTAGCCCAGCTGGCTACTGGCCTTACAAAGTTAATGTTCACCCCTGTTACAGTTTATTAATTGATTAGATCATTGCCAGCTTACATAATGAGTGCATGTAGTAAATGAGCTATTAATTTAAAGAATTTCTAATAAAGTATTTTATATGATTTTTAATTTATTAACATTTTATATTTAATAGTATTTTTGAAAGCGATTTCTAAATTAAATTAATTAGATTTTTAACCCTAGAATTATTTTACAATTTGACATGCAGTTTATTGTATATATGCACATGTATGTGTTTTATAGTGTCTCATAAGTCAACTGTTTGACTGGGCATTGATTGCATTTTAAAGATATAATTGTATATATATATGACTAAATGTACTGTATCAATCAATGTGTGACACTCAAATAAAATAGATTTTATTATTATTTATTATCAATTATGGTATTAAATTCCAGGGACTATTATCTAGTCCTAGGTAATTATGTTGAGAGTTTACGTCCATAAGACAAAGACCCAAAATACGTGAAATGGGTATAATTTTGTGTTTCCATTTTGTAGATGTTGATCCGAGCTAGTACTCGAGTATCGCTCGGTATATCTAACGAGTACTCGATTAGTAAATCTTCACCGAGTTGACATCCCTACTTTAAAGTATATATTCACAAATATTCTGTTTTTGAACAGTCGTTTCTGGAGAAAGAAACAGTCTTAAAACTCTATGGTCATATTTACTCAGGAGAAACTGCACACAAACATTTTTTTGTAAAATTGAAAATCTCCCAATTTTTTTTTATTTGATCGAGCCACCAAAAAATCAAAAGCAGATTAAATTTGGTCTAAAAAAAGTTCCATATCTTCATTGTCCTGCTATATGCCAGGTGACAGTCCCTGTCAAAATGCCACAATGGTTATGATTGTTCATCATTGATAACCATGTTGGGATATGCTTTACACCATGGTCATACATGTACATTAAGCCACAGTTGTTCATGATAAAATCTCATGTGGTTGACTATAAAATTGAGAATGGAAATGGGGATTATGTCAAAGAGACAACAATCCGACCAAAGAGCAGACAACAGCCAAAGGCCACCAATGGGTCTTCAATGCAGTGAGAAAATCCCGCATCCGGCGGTGGTCCTCAGCTGGCCCATAAATAAAATTGTGTGCTAGTTCAGTGAAAATGGACGTCACACTAAACTCCAAAACATATAAATGAACTCAAATTAAAAAACATACAAGACTAACAAAGGCCAGAGGCTCCTGACTTGGGACAGGCGCAAAAATGTATGCTCAATCCGACAATCATGGTGAAAGTTAATCATGGCCAAATTAAAATACAATAAAGCAATTACTTGAATAAATAATAGAGCAGATTTATCATGTTTATGTCAATAACAAAATATTCTCTTTACATTTGAAACCACATACAAACTAGTTTTTTCAACAATCTTACGACTTAACACTATGACAGTGCTCAAAAGAAATATTGTGCGAGTCCTTTCGAAATCTGGGACTTTAACAAACAGCAGTAATGTATAACTTACTTTGAGACTTTGAATATTCAATTTCTGCTTGTTTTGGCAGGGCCTGTTGTCATTTCTTTCTCAGAATGCATAGAAGGAGTCGTTATTTCTGACTCTCTATCCACAGCCTTTACGATTAACTTTTGAATCCACAAGCCTGAAGTTCAATTTTTTAAAATTTTTGTTGGATTCTGTTGGCTTGTAGAGAAGAATTTTACAAGTCTGGAAGCAATTTTACAAGACAATGCCGTAGGACTTGTGGTTAAGCATGATGACTGTATCCAAGTTCATAAATTTGCCTTTCATTATCATCAAATGGCATATAAAGAACTTGAAAAAATCTCAGATTAATGACAAGACATCGTTGTTTAAAACTCATTGTAAATATTCTTCCAAATTCCCGCAAAAGTATTCGATATCAATAATTATCACCAATGGTAAAGAATGTTTCCTTTAGAGTGAAACGTTTAAATGATTTAGAAAATTAATAAACTATTATCACAGATCTAGATATGTCTCGCCTTTTTGTAATTTTGATAATGCAAATGTTGAAATTAAAATAGCGAATACTTTAACATGTACAAAAATGTACATCAAAGTCAATGAACCATGACTATAGGTACATGGTTAAACAATCTCCATGGAAATGAGATGTGCCAATGCTAATACAACCACATACTAAATACCATTGACTTTTCATAAGTCCTTCCCTTTAAACAAACCTTAACACAAACATTAACTTGTAAACTATGTAAAAGTTTCAAAGTCGATGAACCATAATTAGGGGGTGGGGTTATATAATCTCCATGGAAATAAAACTTGCAAATGCCAATACATTTGAATACCGAATTTCATTGACTTAACATTATAGTGGTTCATCTTAAACTGACCTAATCACAAACTAATACATGTACATGTAAACTAAGCAAAAGTTTCAAAGTCAATAGACCATGACTGAGGGGTAAGGACCAAATATTCTCTATGGAAATGAGATGTGCTAATGCTTATACAACTGCATACCAATTATCATTGACCTACCACTAGCAGTTCCCCTTAAACATGTTAAACAGACCTAATCACAAACTAAAACATGAAAACTAAGCAAAAGTTTCAAAGTCAATAGACCATGAATGAGGGAACAGGGCCAAATAATCTCCATGGAAATGAGATATGCCAATGTTAATATAAATACAACTGCATACCAAATATCATTGACCTACCACTAGTGGTTCCCCATAAATTGACCTAATCACAAACTAATACATGTAAACTAAGCAAATTTTCAAAGTCAATAGACCTTGACTGAGGGGGCAGGGCAGGGCTTCCAAAATTATTTTTAGCCAGCCGGACATTTTATTTATTATCCCGATTTTAATCCCTTAAGACTAAATAAACAAAAGGCAATTATGGTAATCAGTTGCCGAGTTGGCCATCCCAATGATTGACATTAAAAAAAACGATATTAAATTTTCTTCGATTTAAATTCGAAGTTCTGACGTAAACTGTTAAATTGGCAGTGCATCATTCGAAGTGTAAAACATCAGCGTACGTATATCTGCCTTAGACTCTTTATTTGTGCAAAATAACGTTGTAAAAACTTTACTTTCATTTTTATACCGGATGTTATATTGACAATGGTAAAACATGGACCAGAGACGGATACGTAAATTCCGTGTACGTTTGCAAAG